TTTTTTTTTTTTTTTTTTTGTGTGAAGTTTTAAATTATTAATTTTTGGAAATATATATATAATATATTATGTTATTTAGAATAACGATAGGTTGTTGAAAAACAAAATTTTGGCGCGAAATTTAACAACATTAAAGAGAATTTATTTATAAACGAAAATTATAGTGTGAAAAGAAAAATTAATATAATTTTCTGGTAGTACTAGAAATGATTTTCATGCCATTTCAACTCCAATCATTGCAACTTTAAGCTTGATGCTTCAATGGCGGCAATCGATGCCAAGCACATGTTCGCCTTCGTGCCATTTTCCTTCTCGATTCTGTTTCTTCAGACGCTACTTAATCAAGTTCAGTTCAACCCTATCCCTTCGTCTCTAAACTCTCGCTTCAACGATTCCAGCTTCTTCGGCTGCTTCTTTGAAAGCTAGGATCGAGCCATCGGTTTGTATTCTCTGTTCTCTTGCTTCCTCAATCAATGAAGTTATAGGATTGAATCTGTCGTTGGTAACTCCTCTGCTTGGTGTTTGAGAGAATCGCAAAGAACGGAGAGGATGAATCCTGCAGAATAAATGCTGAATGAAATGGCCAATGGTGTGTATTGCACCGTTATATATGTTTTTGAGTGATTTAACCATGTCAATTCCAAATTTCTTTCGGAAGGTATAGCCCGGCGTTACAAAACCTTATCGGGAAACTCTTCTAGGTTTGAGATCGTTGTTTTCTGGTTGTGAGTGAAAATATAGTTTAAAATTGTTCTATGTTTATTTGATCAACTCCTTATGGATTCCTGATGGATAGTGAGATGTTAAGAATACATTGATAAGATTAAATTTCTCTTGTGACAATCAAGTGTATGTTAGAAACTGTACTGTACCTAGGTTTGTTTTTCTTACTTATTATATTGCGTCTTCGTAATTGATGTATCTTTACTTAAATGCTTTGATACAGGGAGTCCATTGGTGGATATCAATTGGAATGTGGCACATGTGTACATAGTCTTTCACTGGCAGTGACTCATTTTGACTTGACGATAGGCAGGGGAACTAACAAGGGCGAATCCATGCCTGCTGTCACGGAGATTTTTAGGTATTTCAATTTTCTCATCAGTTATTTATTATGAACAGAGGCTTATTAGCATGCTACTTAGATCTTACTTTCAAATGCAAAAGACTTGATTGTGACAAGAGAAATTAGTTCTGGTACGGATTCCACGTGATAGGTCTTTGTGCTTTACATTTGAAGGAGTTCTTGTTTAAAACTAGAAACTTCGTATGTACACAAGGGACACCATTGCTACAATAAAATTGACCGCAAATCCAATATACACAAGAACATATGGATGTACCTACCAGAGCCTTATAGAGATCTGGAATAGTTTCAGAATTGTTCTAATTTTTCTATGTTGGAATTAGAATTATACTGGCCTAGCTAGCTTTAGTAGTATTAAGTAAAATGAAATTATTGGTGTTTGGTTTTTTTTTTTTTTTTTTTTTTTTTTTTTTTTTTTTTTTTTTTTTTTTTTTTGATACCTCTCCCTTGCAGCCTCCCTCCTCTTTGTTTCTCATCTCAAATTTATTAGCTTTTCACTGTATCAGGACTAGATTGGTGCCTTTATGAGAGGGGCTGGCGTAGAGGTTTGTCAGTATTGCTTGGTTTTCCTGGCCGAAAAGGAGGTGATGCCAGTTCTTATATCTCTCTTCAATATGGAACTTTTTGTTTAATGTCAGCAGATAAGTATAGGCTCGATATTAAAAACTGGATCAGTCGATTAATACCAATGCAAAGTCCGAGAGATGTCCTAGTGCTTTGTCTTAGAATGTTTCATTACATGTAGGGGGAGGGAATTCAAATTTACACCCTACGAAGGAAGGCCCTAGTGTTGAAACTTTTTATTCAATATGTGGTTATGTTGCCAATGCTAAGCACATGATGTTTTCATTGCAGTTTGAGTTGATAAAAGATTTCAGGCACCAGTCTTAGGTGGAAACGTAATTGATGCAAGTTGTGAAAGTGGAATGTTTTCAGGAATCGTGCTGCTGCCAAGAGTGAGTTATTTTCCTCTATTGTTGCTTTGGGCTACTCGGAGAACATGTTAAAGCAGTTATATGAATCATTAAACAAGAGGAAAACTTCCCTCAGAGAAAAAGTATTTGTGTTATCTAAACATGACCTTGTAGATGTCTGTCTAGGAGGTCCAGGTCCAAGTTGTGATTCTTGTGATTCATGTCAGCCTAAGGACGGGTTTCTTTCATGTCATTTTTTGTTATTCAACTCATGTCATTTTGAGTTTAGTTATTCCAGCCTTGTCCAGCACTTAACTTTGTGTTATTGAGAACAAGAAGATAAGAGGGTACGCTAGAAGGAGGGGTTGAACCTCCGACCTTGTGGTTAACAGCCACACGCTCTAACCAACTGAGCTATTCCAGCCCGTTAGTGGTGCTTAATGTATTTCAGCACTTAACTTTGTGTTATCTCAAGTTGTGATTCATGTCATTTTTAGGCACTTTAAACCGAAGTTATTCCAGGTGATGGATAGTTTAGGACTGTTTTCTTTCATGCCATTCTTAGGCACATTCAATAAGTTATTCTATGGTTTACAAAATGTTAGGAGGGGTTGAACCTCCAACCTTGTGGTTAACAGCCACACGCTTTAAGCAACTGAGCTATTTCAGCCTCTTTTTGGTGCTTAATGAATTTCAGCACTTAGCTTTGTGTTATCTCAAGTTGTGATTCATGTCATTTTTAGGCGCTGGGGATGAACGACCTTGGGGTTAATAGCCTCTTATCGGTGCTAAATGTATTTCAGCACTTAACTTTGTGTTATCTTTCATTTTGTACATGCTCTAACCAACTAAGCTATTTCAACCTCTTTTTGGTGCTTATGTATTCTAGCACTTAACTTTGTGTTATCTCACGTTGTGATTCATATCATTTTTAAGCACATTCAATAAGTTATTCCATGGTTTACAAAATGTTAGAAGGGCCCGCTAGAACGAGGGGTTGAACCTCCAACCTTGTGGTTAACAACCACACGCTCTAACCACACTTAACTTTGTGTTATCTCAAGTTGTGATTCATGTCATTTTTAGGCACATTCAATAAGTTATTCCATGGTTTACAAAATGTTAAAAGGGCCCGCTAGAACGAGGGGTTGAACCTCCAACCTTGTGGTTAACAACCACACGCTCTAACCAACTAAGCTATTCTAACCTCTTTTTGGTGCTTAATGTATTCCAGCACTTAACTTTGTGTTATCTCACATTGTGATTCATATCATTTTTAGGCACTTTAAATCGAAGTTATATTTCACGGGATAGTTTAGGACTGTTTTATTTCCTGTCATTTTTAGGCACTTTTAATGAGTTATTCCATGGTTTACAAAATGTTAAGATGGGTCTCTAGGAGGGGTTGATGAATTATTCCATGGTTTACAAAATGTTAAGATGGGTGGGTCGCTAGAAGGAGTTGAACCTCCAACCTTGTGGTTAATAGCCACATGCTCTAACCAACGGAGCTATTCCAACCTGTTTTTAGTGTTTAATGTATTTCAGCACTTAACTTTGTGTTATCTCAAGTTGTGATTCATGTCATTCACATTCAATATGTTATTCCATGGTTTACAAAATGTTAAAAGAGCCCGCTAGAAGGAGGGGTTGAACCTCCAACCTTGTGGTTAACAGCCACACGCTCTAACCAACTGAGCTATTCCAGCCTCTTTTTGGTGCCTAATGTATTCTAGCACTTAACTTTGTGTTATCTAACGTTGTGATTCATATCATTTTTAGGCACTTTAAACCGAAGTTATATTCCAGGTTTTAAATGGGATAGTTTAGTGTTTTCTTTCCTGTCATTTTTAGACACTTTAAACCGAAGTTATATTCGATGTGATGGGATAGTTTAGGACTGTTTTCTTTCTTGTCATTTTTTCGAGGTGATGGGATAGTTTAGGACTGTTTTCTTTCTTGTCATTTTTTTGAGGTGATGGGAACCGAAGTTATATTCGATGTGATGGGATAGTTTAGGATATATTCGAGGTGATGGGATAGTTTAGGACTGTTTTCTTTCTTGTCATTTTTTCGAGGTGATGGGAACCGAAGTTATATTCGATGTGATGGGATAGTTTAGGATATATTCCAGGTGATGGGATAGTTTAGGACTGTTTTCTTTCTTGTCATTTTTTCGAGGTGATGAGATAGTTTAGGATATATTCCAGTGGGATAGTTTAGGACTGTTTTCTTTCTTATCATTTTTTCGAGGTGATGGGATATTAGGACTGTTTTCTTTCTTGTCATTTTTAGGACTGTTTTCTTTCTTGTCATTTTTTCGAGGTGATGGGATAGTTTAGGATATATTTGAGGTGATGGGATAGTTTAGGATATATTCTAGTGGGATAGTTTAGGACTGTTTTCTTTCTTGTCATTTTTAGGCACTTTAAAGGCACTTTAAACTAAAGTTATATTCCAGGTGACTGTTTGGCACTTTAAACCAAAGTTATATTCCAGGTGACTGTTTTGGCACTTTAAACCAAAGTTATATTCCAGGTGACTGTTTGGCACTTTAAACCAAAGTTATATTCCAGGTGACTGTTTGGCACTTTAAACCAAAGTTATATTCCAGGTGACTGTTTGGCACTTTAAACCAAAGTTATATTCCAGGTGACTGTTTTGGCACTTTAAACCAAAGTTATATTCCAGGTGACTGTTTTCTTCTGGGATAGTTTAGGACTGTTTTCTTTCCTGTCATTTTTAGGCACTTTTAATGAGTTATTCCATGGTTTACAAAATATTAAGTAAGATGGGTCCCTAGAAGGAGGGGTTGAACCCCGACCTTGTGGTTAACAGCCACACGCTCTAGGACTGTTTTCTTTCCTGTCATTTTTAGGCACTTTTAATGAGTTATTCCATGGTTTACAAAATATTAAGTAAGATTGTGGTTAACAGCCACACGCTCCACACGCTCTAGGACTGTTTTCTTTCCTGTCATTTTTAGGCACTTTTAATGAGTTATTCCATGGTTTACAAAATATTAAGTAAGATTGTGGTTAACAGCCACACGCTCTAGGACTGTTTTCTTTCCTGTCATTTTTAGGCACTTTTAATGAGTTATTCCATGGTTTACAAAATATTAAGTAAGATTGTGGTTAACAGCCACACGCTCTAGGACTGTTTTCTTTCCTGTCATTTTTAGGCACTTTTAATGAGTTATTCCATGGTTTACAAAATATTAAGTAAGATTGTGGTTAACAGCCACACGCCCTAGGACTGTTTTCTTTCCTGTCATTTTTAGGCACTTTTAATGAGTTATTCCATGGTTTACAAAATATTAAGTAATTTTTAGGCACTTTTAATGAGTTATTCCATGGTTTACAAAATATTAAGTAAGATGGGTCCCTAGAAGGAGGGGTTGAACCCCGACCTTGTGGTTACTTTGTGTTATCTCAAGCTGTGATTCATGTCATTTTTAGGCACTTTAAACCGAAGTTAGGTGATGGATAGTCAATAAGTTACTCCATGGTTTACAAAATGTTAAAAGAGCCCGCTAGAAGGAGGGGTTGAACCTCCGACCTTGTGGTTAACAGCCACACGCTCTAACCAACTGAGCTATTCTAGCCTCTTTTTGGTGCTTAATGTATTCTAGCACTTAACTTTGTGTTATCTCAAACCTTGGTGCTTAATGTATTCTAGCACTTAACTTTGTGTTATCTCAAACCAAAGTTATATTCCAGGTGATGGGATGGATAGTTTGGGACTGTTTTCCAGGTGATTGGATAGTTTAGGATTGTGTTTTCCAGGTGATTGGATAGTTTAGGATTGTTTTATTTCCTTCCTGTCATTTTTAGGCACTTTTAATATTTCCTTCCTGTCATTTTTAGGCACTTTTAATATTTCCTTCCTGTCATTTTTAGGCACTTTTAATATTTCCTTCCTGTCATTTTTAGGCACTTTTAATATTTCCTTCCTGTCATTTTTAGGCACTTTTAATATTTCCTTCCTGTCATTTTTAGGCACTTTTAATATTTCCTTCCTGTCATTTTTAGGCACTTTTAATATTTCCTTCCTGTCATTTTTAGGCACTTTTAATATTTCCTTCCTGTCATTTTTAGGCACTTTTAATATTTCCTTCCTGTCATTTTTAGGCACTTTTAATATTTCCTTCCTGTCATTTTTAGGCACTTTTAATATTTCCTTCCTGTCATTTTTAGGCACTTTTAATATTTCCTTCCTGTCATTTTTAGGCACTTTTAATATTTCCTTCCTGTCATTTTTAGGCACTTTTAATATTTCCTTCCTGTCATTTTTAGGCACTTTTAATATTTCCTTCCTGTCATTTTTAGGCACTTTTAATATTTCCTTCCTGTCATTTTTAGGCACTTTTAATATTTCCTTCCTGTCATTTTTAGGCACTTTTAATGAGTTATTCCATTGTTTTATTTCCTTCCTGTCATTTTTAGGCACTTTTAATGAGTTATTCCATGGTTTAACACTAATGTTAAGATGAGTCACTAGAAGGAGGGGTTGAACCTTTCATGTCATTCACATTCAATAAGTTATTCCATGGTTTACAAAATGTTACAAGAGCCCGCTAGAAGGAGGGGTTGAACCTCCAACCTTGTGGTTAACAGCCACACGCTCTAACCAACTGAGCTATTCCAGCCTCTTTTTGATGCTTAATGTATTCTAGCACTTAACTTTGTGTTATCTCACGTTGTGATTCATATCATTTTTAGGCACTAAATGGGATAGTTTAGTGTTTTCTTTCCTGTCATTTTTAGGCACTTTAAACCGAAGTTATATTCGAGGTGATGGGATAGTTTAGGATATATTCTAGGTGATGGGATAGGATAGTTTAGGACTGTTTTCTTTCCTGTCATTTTTAGGCACTTTAAACCGAAGTTATATTCGAGGTGATGGGATAGTTTAGGATATATTCTAGGTGATGGGATAGGATAGTTTAGGACTGTTTTCTTTCTTGTCATTTTTAGGCACTTTAAACCAAAGTTATATTTCAGGTGATTTAGGATATATTCCAGGTGATGGGATAGGATAGTTTAGGACTGTTTTCTTTCTTGTCATTTTTAGGCACTTTAAACCAAAGTTATATTTCAGGTGATTTAGGATATATTCCAGGTGATGGGATAGGATAGTTTAGGACTGTTTTCTTTCTTGTCATTTTTAGGCACTTTAAACCAAAGTTATATTT